ACAATTAAATAAATTAAAATTACTCAAAATTTTATTAAAATAACCTATATTAATTTCTAAGTAAAATATATTCAGCACATAAAAAAATATATAATTATATATTTTTTAAAACAAATTTATTAATTATTAAAGCTTGAACATGCTCTGGACACTTGTGGATACTTGAACTTATAATTAATAACTCATCTTTATTAATAAAATACTTGTGTCTTCATACACAAGATAAAACCCTATCGTGTTTTCATACATAATATAAACCCGATTGTGTCTTCATATATAATTAAAACCCAAGTTAATCGTTAAATAAGTTAATGATCTTGAATACATGAATATCATAAAAAAAGTTTGTGATAGATATATTTAGACTTATTGTATATCCTAATATGACTACTTAAATCTTCATATATATATATTTAGCCATTTGCCTCTTTTATAACTACAAATCACTTGAAACTTCTTAAAGTGTAATTGCAATAAACCTTATATTTACTTAATTATAAATGTTAGTTGTCTGAAGTGTAGTGGAGGACTCTATATTTACTTCAAATTATGCAATGTCCGTTGACAGTGACTAATTAATTTTCTGGATCAGGTAGCACCGCATATTTTTGCAAATCTCTAAAAAACAAAAAATATAATACCCAATCAAATTGTTTGATACAATAGTATAATGCTTCAAACATCTATCAGCACCTGATATCTAGTAGTATTAATTAATAGATATATATTGCTAAAAGTAGATTCATTATACTGAACTCATAAGAGGTAGTTTCAGGTGTAACAATGCTTCTAAATTATAATACTTAACTAGAGTTATATTGATATTGGTTATCTGGTCATTATCGATTAATAATTGTTACTGCTGCACTATAAATAGAGACCATTTAAAGTCTTACAAATTGATTAGGATCTACATACATATATATCTAGCTTTAAACTATCTTTGTAAATAATAAGTATTATATTGATTATACTAAAATCAATAATTTATCAAATCAGCAGAATAATTATTTGGTTAATTTTTCACAAGATGTCTCAGAAATAATGATAACAGCTATAAAATTTGAATTACTGGGTTTTACTAACCATTTCGGAGCACTAATTATAACTATTCGATAATACTGAGATTGCTAGATGAGTTTGAGCTACTGTAACCATGATTGTTTGATTGTTCACCTAGGTCAATTGGGTTATTTGTTGACACAGGTAGATCTGTTTAGTAACAGAGAACTTAATAATAGAGTTATAGACCAGACTAGATGATTTAATAGTAATAGTAAGTATATGCATAATCAACATTATACTATATCTATGTACCAATTTTTTTCTTACACTCAATATTTTTTTTTCTTTTTCACCCATTGCTTTATTCTTTATATTATTTACTTCTACATAGGTTCAGAGAAATTAGATTGTTTGGTAATTCCGGTCTGATCAGGTGAATTATTGATCAGCCATTCTATATAGTCACACTTTCAATTTCTTATTCACTCAACATCATTGTATTACTGCAGAAATTACTTGCTTGATGTATTTATTTTGCTATTTCTGTTTACATCTGTATTTTGCAATATTGTCAAATGATTTTTAAATGACATAAATGATATTGTGACATTGTCATTTGTCATTTTGTCATTTAAAAGACAAATGACAAATGACAAAAATAGTTTATATTTAAAAATGTTAAGATCTCAAAATTGTTAAGGTTTTATGTTACTTCAGGTATTTTAGGATTGATTAAACCCTAAAATATTCAAAGTTTTAACAATCTTAAGATCCTGTGATTGGTTAAAATTTGTAATTTTAAATAACAAAAATAATAAATGACCTTTGTCATTTGTCACTAATTTGTCATTTGTTACTAAAATTTTAAATGACATTGTCATTTAACAATACTGATATTTTGATTTATTTCATATTTAGATATTTACTATTTTATCTTATTCTTTTTGTTACAGTATCAAGTATGAAGTCAATCAGAAAAAAGATGAATAATAGAATTGTGATTATTTTCTTGTTCTTGATCAAAGACCAATGACTCTCAAAAAACCCATAATGCAATTCCAGCAATTGATGTAGCACCTATTGCATGTAGGAGGGGGGCAATAGTATATATCTAGGTTTTCTTATATACTCTGAGAGTCATTTATTTTAGCGGGATTGACTCGCAACTTTATCGATGACTTGGTACATCATCAATATCGTATTTTATCATTTCGAGATCTTTTTTTAAAAAAAAGATCGGGAAATAAATGTATTAAAAAAATAATCGAATACACTGTTAAGATCGACGTTTCCTTAATTCCTTTCTCTGGAGATTTAGTTTTTTCTTTCAAATCCCTGATTTTTAGACTCTTTTGGGTCACATGATGCAAACCTCCTCGTGGTGTGACCTAGACATCAAGCGATTTTGTTTGATGACTGAATATTACTGAATAAACTTCTTATTAATAATGTTTAAAAAGTTATTTGTAATTTGAGTAAATCGTTAATAAAACTGAATCTAATATTTTTATTTGACAAAAAAATATTAAAAAAAAAAAAAAAAAAATTACACTATCGCTATCGATAGGTTCATTAATTTATATCCAAGTTGCTTTTATACGGGTACAATCTCTACCCACCCACATTCACCCGGGTTATTAAAATTCAACCCAGGTCACCCACCCACCCTCGCGTGACCTAGGTGAGGCCCACCCACTAGAGCATATTTCAGTATTTAAGATAATCGAAATATATTGCATGCATGTGATATTTGTTGCACAACATTCTGTTTGGATGTTGATTCATGATCCAAACCTGGCACAGATTCAAAAAAAAATTCTCTTCAACGACCCCCGGTTGTAGGCAAGTTTAATCACGAGATCGATTCATAAAGTTGATACGCACGTACGTACGTACCTTTACAAGAAGCTCCTTAGCCACGACGTGTACGATCTTTAGAGGATTATGCCATATTACCGTCTTAAAGGTATAATCGGTTTAGATTCTTTTTGCACTTAAAGTTTATTATAATGCATTTCTTAAAGCTTACTTTTTTTCAAAGATCTCATAAAGGCCATACGTGCCTGTAAGACTGCTGCTGATGAAAGAGCTGTCATCCAGAAGGAATCGGCAGCCATTCGTACTAGTTTTAAGGAAGAAAATAATGACGCTCGTCATTCGAATGTGGCTAAATTGCTTTATATACACATGCTGGGTTATCCAGCCCACTTTGGCCAAATCGAATGCTTAAAATTAGTAGCATCAAATCGATTTGCGGATAAAAGACTGGGTTATTTAGGAATTATGCTTTTATTGGATGAAAACCAAGAAGTGCTAACGTTGGTCACGAATTCCTTGAAAAAGTAATTTTATATAATCTTTTGCTTCAGATGGTTTTAAGACACAGAGTAGTCTACTTTTTGAATTTTATCCTTGACACAGAAATTAATTTTTCGAATTCAGCGATATGAACCATTCCAATATGTATATTGTTGGTTTAGCATTATGCACTTTAGGGAATATATCGTCTCCTGAAATGGCGCGTGATTTATGTGCAGAAGTTGAAAAACTATTAGGCAGTTCCAATGCATATATCCGGAAGAAGGTTAATTACCATGAAACTCTGATTTTGTTATCAGTATTGCTTCAACTATTATCTTGTAATCTAATCTTTTTTTTTACACCTTTTTTTGGACAAATAAACTTATTTGAAAAAAAGGCTGCGTTGTGCGCGATGCGGATCATTCGTAAAGTTTCTGATCTACAGGAAAATTTTTTGAGTAGAGCAAAAAGTAATTTGAGTGACAGAAATCATGGCGTATTATTAACAGCAATTACTCTTATCATTGAGATGTGCTATCAAAATCCAGAAACTTTACAAACTTTTCGCAAGGTTGATAATTTTTCATCAATTTATTATTTCTATTATAATGATACATAATTTCATATCTGGATTGTTATGATAGGCAGTTCCATTATTGGTTAGACATTTAAAATCACTGGTTTCAGCTGGATTTTCACAAGAGCACGATGTAACTGGCGTCACAGACCCATTTTTGCAAGTTAAAATCTTGAGGCTCTTGCGAATTCTAGGTAAAGGAGATGCTGAAGCAAGTGAAGCAATGAACGATATTCTTGCTCAGGTTCGTATTTATAACGTCAATTTAGTTATTCAGCTTCAATTGTTGAACAATTCCTTTATTGATGTATTTATAGGTTGCCACGAATACTGAATCGTCAAAAAATGTTGGAAATTCAATACTATATGAAACTGTACAAACTATCATGGAAATTCAGTCTGAAAGTGGCCTTCGTGTTTTAGCCATCAATATTCTTGGCAAATTTTTGACAAACAGAGATAATAATATTAGGTATTAAGGATATTGATTATTATTATTATTATTATCATTTTACAATCTGATTATTTTACCATGTCATAATTTGATCATATTAGATATGTCGCATTGACCACGCTTAATAAAACGGTATCGATAGATACAAACGCAGTTCAACGTCATAGAAACATCATCCTTGACTGTTTGCGAGATGGCGATATTTCCATACGACGTCGCGCATTGGAGCTTTCATTTGCATTAATTAATGAGTCAAATGTTAGAGTGTTAACACGTGAGTTATTGGCCTTCTTGGAAGTGGCCGATAATGAGTTCAAACAGGGAATGACGACAAAAATTTGCTTGGCTGCTGACAGGTTTATATTTAATTTGTCACATTACTTTTAGTAAATATGGCTAAACTATTCTACATTTAACAGGTTCGCTCCCAATAAACGATGGCATATTGATACAGTATTACGTGTTTTGAAACTGGTACATTCTTAAAATGTTATGAAATCTTTTAAATTCTCTTGATACTATATTTATCGTTATTTGCATTTGGAATAGGCTGGAAATTACGTTCGTGAGGAAATTTTATCAAATTTTATTCGCCTAATTGCACAGACGACCGAATTAAATGCATACACAGCCCAAAAATTATATTCAGCGTTGAAATCTGACATTTCACAAGTAATTAATTATTTTTTTTTTATGTATCTTATAATTATTGTTTCATTGTCAGCCGATTAATAAAAAATGATATTTAGGAATCACTAACTTTAGCTGGTGTATGGGTAATTGGAGAATACGGTGATATATTGATAAAAGGCGGCAACTTTGAAGAAGAAGAACTTGTTAAAGAGGTTTGTCATTATAAAATAGCTCGCAAAATGGTTGAACATTCGTGATAGACAACAGAAGCTTTTTGTTATAGGTTACTGAATCGGATGTTATTGATCTCCTGGAATTAATTCTCGCTGGACCTTACGCTAACCAAGTAACCCGGGAATATGTTCTTACCGCACTTATGAAACTGACTTCGCGATTAACGTCAACATCGTCCATTCAACGTATTCAAGCTTATATTGAAAGATATAATACCAGTATTGAAGTAGAAATTCAACAACGTGCTGTTGAATATGGCAACTTATTTAAAGTTGAAACGATCCGGCCGGCAGTTTTGGAGCGAATGCCGATTCCTGAAGTCAAGGAAGAAGTTATTCGACCAAGTAATACTTATTTATTTTATGTATTATCAAATTATTTCACTTGCATATTGCTAACGCTTCATTTTGGTAATAGCCGGTGATACAGGTTCACTCTTAGATGACATTGGTGCTAAGAATTCAAACGGTGGCGTAGAAGTAAGTGGTGTTTAAATGGAATGATAAAAGATTTTGCATTTGCCTCATATGTTAATACGGTTATTGTTTTCTCTCTAAGACACTTGTAGATTTTGGCGGAAATGATTCAACCCAATCTAAAAAGCATGCACCTGAAAGCAATAAAACTACCGTAGACATTCTGGCTGACATATTCGGTAGTGGATCTGCAGAAACAACTACCCCTACAGCTGTCGTACCACAAGATGCAAAAAATGATATTATGAATCTATTCACCTCTGAATCGACAACCACTCCAGTCACACCTGTACAAAATTCACAACAAACAAATCCTTTAGATAGCTTGGGTTTATTAGGACTTGGAGAAACCGAAGTTTCATCTCAACCTTCTGCTACAAATACGGGTATAAACGTATTTCATAATAGGGACTGCAACGGATAGTTTTATTCTTGGATTCATGTCATCACTAATTTATTAATCTGCAATTTAGATCAATACGTAGCGTATAATAAAAACGGATTTAAAATTAGTTTAAATCCTTCTAAAGACCCAAGCAACCCTAATATCCTCAACATTGAAGTTACTTTTCACAATATCGGTGTAGGTGCAACAGTACAAAACCTTTTATTCCAGGCGGCCGTTCCAAAGGTTAACTATGCGTTTATTTTAATTTGGAACCTTCTATATATTGTATTTTATATTAACAAACATTTTTTGAATTATTTTAGAATCAGAAACTACAAATGCAACCACCTTCATCGACAACCATTTTACCTGGTGCTACAACACAACAAATAATTCGTGTTGCCAATCCTCAAAAGGTAGAACATTACATTTACATTTGAGATATTTATTCACAAATTATTTAATTTTAATAACTTTAAACTACTTCTCAGTCGAACGTTAGGTTACGGCTTAGGATCGTATATTCTACTCCTGCAGGTGCTAAAGTTGATGAGATTTCCGAATTTAGTGGATTTCCACAAGAATTTTGGTGAAAAATATATGAACATTATTTAAAAGAATGTGTGTATTTTTTTTTTTTTTTTGATTGTATATTTTAGAATATATTGAATGTTGAGACGAAATTATTAACAAGAATTAATAGTTTAATTAAATGTAGCATACAACACATTCAACCTGCCGTAATGTTTCTATTAAATTTGTAATTGTAATCAAAAAGAAATAAACATTTATTTGGAACAATTAATACTATTGTACAAATATGTATGTGGTAATAAATATGTGTGCTTTTTAAGATATGGTGTAGGTATATCTAAGTTTACCAAAACCTGGAATGCACAACTTGTCTCACACAAACGAGGTATCAAAAAATTATAACCTCAATAAATTTCGGTCAGGTTTTTTTATCTGACAATATTAACTTCAAAACTTATAACTTTTATGTCGATAAATTTATATAACATACATTGCTCTATGATGTACTAGTCAGTTTTCCCTTTCAAAAAGTGAAAATGAGTCACGTGGTAATATAGTATACTTAGACTACTTGAACCAGTGTTGTTAACTGGAAACACTGGAAGGCCAGAAAGCAAAAATTAATAGTACCACTGGAACTTGTACTATTAGAAATTTTCACTGGAAGGCTAGAAATTCTCACTGGAAGCCAAAATTAACATCACTGACTTGAACTGTATAAAACGGAGCCAATTTTTTATTAAGTCCAACAATCCGTCTCTAATCTGTTAATCTTGATATAGTATCTAAATCTGAACCTGATTTACGATGCATTGGGCTACCGATAGATATTATTCCATCCGCGTAGAGTGCTATTTCCCTTTTGACTTATACCAAAATAGTATTCATATTTAAAGAATTGTAATATTATGTTTTATAAAACTTTTGAAGATAAATGTAAAGTATACCCGGGTACATCTTTAGTTTTTGTAAATACCCGAATATCAGTTAGAACTTGGAATGGTTCGAAAGTTGATTACTTTAGACAGTGATGCAGTCGTGTTGATGATGTCCTTTTTCGTTCACTTGACGCTCTTAATAGAGTTACGACCCCAATTTACTACATAGTATGGGGATCTCAAATAGTATTTATACACTAGGTTTCGTAAAAATGCCTCCAATTTGGCATAATGTCAAACACTTTTAACAATTACGGCTAATAATATCTCATCTCATATATGAATAATAATCTATATCTACTCAAGTCGATTTCAAAGAGACTTTCTTGGTTAAGACGTATATGAATTTGGTCCGAGTTCTCCTTTCTCAGAATTAGGCTTGCTGCGGATTTAAGTAGCTTGGTCTTACTAGTGATTTGTGTCGCTTATATCATAACCAGGTAACTGAGAGAGTTTGTTAGCTAATTAATCAGTTACCAAAAGCCGACATGTTTAACCTCAAATTTTTTTATTTAACAGGACGTTAACAATAACGATAAGGATCGAATTTTACTAAGTTTCCGAGAACTATTAGGTACTTCCATTCGAAGGAAGCTTGATCGAAAGGTTTATTATTTACAATTCAAACTTACTATGGATGCATTATTTTTCATTTATTGTGCACATATTCATTAAACCTACTGTAACATATTACTTTATTCAATGTATCCTGATTAGTCACTAAATCTCTCTTAAATTAATTTGAAAATAAGAATCGCAAAGTGTTAATAATTTACAACATTGATTTAACAAGTTTGAATTTTACACTATAGACATACATTTAGATTCTAATTATTAACCCAAATTCCCAAATGAAGTAGAAATCCCGATTTCTAAACCTAAACTATGCAATAATGTCATGATTCAAAAGTGGTTTGAGTAGCAACACTAGCTTTTGATGATGATGATTGACGTCTATCATGTTGTTTATATTTCTGTGAAGACGTTGATGAATGCCGGCTATGCTGTCGGTTATGTTGTCGGCTATGTTGTCTGCTATGTTGTTGTTTTGTAGGAGAACTCGGTGCGGAATATTGCAACGATTGACGTTTTTTATGGAGTGGTTGAGGTACTTTAGGAAGCTTTGGAAGTCCAGCAATTTCACGAAAGAAATTTACTTGACTTAGAATTAGTTTCCATAAGATCCACCAGGCTATTAAATCAAAGAAATTTAAGAATAGTAAATAAATAGTCTCAGAACGGTGGTGTAAGAATTAAACTTTTATGTAAATAACTGATCTCACCTAGTAAAATGATCAATATGACAAGCACTATTGATACTACTAGTTTTAGAACATCAATAATAAATGTGCTCAACATTATTTGATTATGGAATATTAGTGAAAATTGAATAGAATTACAATGTTTGGAGAGAAAGGTAAAGGTTTAAAAATGATTAGTCACGCGAAATTATCGGCTATATAATGTTGATATGGTGACACAGTGTGCGGAGTTGTGGAGTTCAACAATGATTTCCGAGATCGACCTCTAGCTCACGCTCACGTGACGATTTGTTTCGAGTTAAATTCCCAAAAGGTCGCGTACCAGAACTATTACTAGTTTTAAGAGACTCTCGTTTAATTATCACAAACTGTTAAATTTGCTGTTTTGTCTGAGCTCAATACCACGTGTTTCTGCAGTGCTGCTAATCGCGTCTTTCAATTAAACCTCTTTCATTGTATATATTAGTTGTTTTGGATTGTTAATGTTACACGATATCTTTTTATTGGTATTGGTCGATTGACATGTGATATAAATTTTACTCGAGGAAAGAGCACTAAATTCATCTGAGATGAAACTTTCGATACAAGTAAATTTTTTTCGCGTTTTTGTCCTACGTTCCAATAATCAATGTTAATTATAAGGTTATGATACGCCGGCTCAAACTCAAAATGTAGATTCTGCCAAGTTTGATACAGGCCGATATATGCCATTGGAGAACCTCTCAGACTAATGCAAACAATTCAATCGCTCATTGTTCTTCGACTTCAATAGACACGGACGGGTAACAAAATCATAAGTTTTGCTTGAAAATTACATCAGTATCCTGCACCAAAATTCTGCTTCCACGTGATCAAAATTGTGACTCAACCCAATCAAATCTCGAGATCAGGTGTAACGTAACACGATCAGAAAATTTCAAAACAAATGCGCTTTGTCGAAAATCGCAAAAATCCGCATAAGAAACTCCTTTCATGCTCTGACAAAAAGTTTTGATTGGGTAACTTTACTGTCAAAGTCCCTAACACCTAGCCTTAATACAAACACCTAGCCTTAATACAAACACTATCCTTAACATAAACAAACCCTTAAAGAATTTTTTCGACTATCACGTGAAAGCCGAATTTTGGTGGCGATACTAGGGAAGATGCAACTTGAAACAAAAATAGGATCAATTATAAGACCCAGGAGAAAAACTATCAATTTAGGCAAAAATCTGGGTAATTGATTAAATTTCAGTAACGTACATTTGGTTATATTGATTCAATGACTTAGACTTGATTTTTGCATTATCGACTTAATAATACCGCATTAGGTCCACCGAAAAGAATAAAAATAAACGAAGAATTGATCCAAAAAGAGAAGGATGCGCTTAATATTATTCCTGAATCCGATAGCTCACAGAATTCAAGTTCAGGTAATACCTTTTTTTTCAATAAAGAACAAAAAAAAAAAAAACATACATACATACACGTACTAATTTATCGTTTTAAGTCCAAAATCAGGAAACTGTTAAAAAGGAGTCATCTCCGATATCTAACGAATGTTCAAGTCAACCTTCAAGTCAGCCTTCAAGTCAGCCTTCAAGTCAACCTTCAGAATCAAAATTATTGAGTACTACTCCGACGCCAACAAATAAAGATACTATATTAGTAAGTAAATTTAAAACATTGTCGTTGATTTAATCGTACAATATACATATTAATTATTTAAGATTGCAGCTCAACGGTAAGACTTACACGCGTACAAAATACATCGGTCGTGGTGGTAGCAGCAAAGTATATAAGGTCATAGATTCGAATTCTCAAGTTTTTGCCCTGAAAAAGGTCTCAACTAAGAAGGTGGACGAACAGACTATTAAAGGCTATCTCAATGAAGTTGAGTTATTGCAAAAGCTAGCTGGAAGAGATCGTATAATAAAATTATATGATCACGAGGTTAACGTCGAAGAAGGATATATATTAATGGTTGAGTAATTCAATAAACTATTTTATCTATCTTATTTTATCCATTAATGATCTATATATTATTAATATTATCGTTATTATTAGCTAATGGAATGTGGACAAATTGACTTGGCAAATTTACTCAATAGTAAAAATGGAAAGCCTATAAAAATAGATTTTATCCGAACATGTTGGCAGCAGGTATTATGTAATAAAAAATTGGTCTATATATATGATGAACCAATTTTTTAATGCTATTTTTTTTCCTTAATGTATATAGATGCTCGAAGCTGTCTACACGATTCATTTGGAAAAAATCGTTCATTCAGATTTGAAACCAGCAAACTTCATTATAACTGATGGATCCCTAAAATTAATTGATTTTGGTATAGCAAGAGCTATACAGAACGATACTACAAATATTCATAGGGAGCAACAGGTATGTAATTGAATGCTTCAATATATGTTATTGAATGCTTCAATATATGTTATTGTTAATTTTATTGTATCCGAATTTTTATTGTTAATGATTTAGGTTGGAACAATAAATTACATGTCACCAGAAGCTATTCAGGATTACAATGCTAATAATAAATCTGAAGGAAAATTAATAAAAGTAAGTAAGTAATACCTATTCTTTGAAGCCATATACGGATACATAATGATTTATTATTCATTTATGCGATACGTAGCTGGGGCGTGCAAGCGATGTTTGGTCTTTAGGCTGCATTCTTTATCAACTAGTTTATGGTCATACGCCATTTGCTCATCTAAACATGTATCAAAAATTCAAAAGTATTCCTGACCCCGACTACCATATCGAGTTTCCTCCGACTTCCAGTTTGATATACAATGCTAATCAAGCACATTCAGCTGATGAAAACAGTATTAACCAAGACGTTCCGGTTGATGAAAATTTGCTGAGAATTATGAAAAATTGTTTGCAAAGAAATCTTAAAGCCCGAGCCACAATTCCAGAGTTGTTAGCTGATCCTTTTCTTAGTGGGTCATATGTAAAAGGTAATCGTCAATATTTGGTTTTAAACACATTGATTGTTAGAGATTTACACGGGCCTGTCTATGTGGGCAGGTTTTTATTTATTGTAAACTGTTTAATGCGAATAATTCATTTTAGCATTAGAACAAGTGTTAAATAATTTGACCCGCGAAATAATTAATTTTAGTATCAGAACCGATATTAAATAATTTGATCCATGAAATAATTAAATATACCGAAACGGCTAAGATTACGCATGATTCACATGAACAAATTACCATGATCACAAAGGTTAGAGTTTACATTTAAATTCAAATTCTTACATTAAATACTTGAACTAACTCTTTGTTGAACTTAGTCAATTTTTTCCCAGCTTCGTAACAAAGAGCTGATAAGTTGTGAGCAATGGGAAGATAAATAAAGTTGCTTGGTTTATAAAGAAAAGGAAATTGGTAATGTTGTGGCGACTGTTTTGACTGGTTATTTTTATTTTTTAATTTTATTTTTTTTTAAAATCAATTGTACATTAATGATAGTAAATGACTGATTGTCAGGAATAAATAATAATTTACTGATTTTAATTATATAAATTATAACAAATTTAATAAAAAATGATATATCGATACGTATATACAATTATACGTATAGTCTACTTTTTTATAATACGTATACAGTATGACGGAATTATCATTACGTAGCGATTTGGCGTTACGTAATCTTTAGTCGACTAATTTTGTTATCACAAAGTGGGGAAATTCTATTTTCACCCGGGTTAAAGTCACCCAATACATTTTTATTATATTTTATAATATAAATCCATATAATATCGTAAAATTCATCTACCCTAACCTCTAACTAGCCAATCTATAGAATTTT